TGTCTCCAAGCAGAATTAAGAGGATACATGGCCTTTACCAAATTAGGAGTTGTTTACCACAGAGAGCACTTGCCGTCAGGCTGGCAGAAGGCGGAAACCAGCGCCATCTTTTGGGCGCGGTACTTTGCAGCTCCCAACAGGTCTGAAGTATCATCTCACTGTGATTTGATAGGAATGTCTTTGATGGTTAGAGATATTAAACATCTATCTTTGCACTTTCTTCCTCGTCATTTGTATACAGTTTGGGGAAATGACATTTCAAGCTTTTTAAAATCAGGTTCTTTGTTTCTGAGTTTTAGGAATGCTTTATATATTCTTGATATTAATCCATATATGACCTGTAAATATTTCCTTACATTGCAAAGATTTCCATTTCAATCTTGAGTGTCCCTTAATCTGCCAACATTTTTTTAAACCCTGATGAAGTCCAATTTGTCTATTTTAAAACTTGTTGCCTGGGCTATTATCTAGAATCACCATGTTCTTCTATGTCTGTCTGTCTGTCTGTCTCCCTCTATCCTACTCTTTCTTCTCTGCCTCTCTCCCTGCCACTTCCCCTCCTATATGTGTTTGTCTGTTCTTCCCTCCCTTACATTCCTCCTCCTTTTTCTCCCCCTCATTTTGCCTTTCTCTGATAGGGTCCCAATAGCTTCTGGCACGAAATGCTGCACCAGCTGCCACTGACTTTGGAGCTTACATTTCAAACCCCATTGTGATTCTTCTGGTCCTTAGTCAGATACCTTATCGATTGCATTCCTGGCTGGGATTTTCATTCTGAAGTGCAGCAGTCTGGAGTTTATCTAGGTTTTCTGAGCCTGAAATAAACACAATTTTGTAAGCTTAAGAAAGAAAATATAAAACTATTACTTTTTATAAGTTTCTGTTGAATTTTGTAACCATGTTATTCATTCCAAAGACCCCTCTTGGTAGGGTCATGCAAGCTCCATCTGCTTTGTTATTAATTAGCTGTTGAAATATGAACACAATTTTCAACACTTCCCTACCAGCAACTATTTTTTGGGTGGGGGTGGGGGAGATGGCAGGATCTCTCTGCATAGACTCACCATGTAGATAGACCAGGCTGGCCTCAAACTTACAGAGATCAGCCTGATTTTATCTCTCAGGTGTTGTGATTAAAGGTGTGTGCCACCACCCCCAGCTTACCTGAAACCATTTAAAAATCATTCTGAGGTAGAGTCCTGCTTGATTTTTTTCTTCTGGATGCATAATTTCCATTCCTTCCTTTTTCATATCGCCAACATATTTAAGGTGGCAATCACTCTTGTCCCACCTAATGGGTATATTAGACTCCTCATCCATATAGGTGCCTCTGTGGTCCATTTTCCTCACTCACAATTATGGAACTGAAATGCAAACCCAGTTATGCTATTTTTCTTGCCTAAGGTTTTTCAGGTGCCCACCCTTATCTTCAAAGTAATCTTCTGCAATCTCATTGTCAAGGTTCATAAGTCTTCCCACCCATGAGTCATTTTGACATCTGCTCCACCACACTGCTATTCTGAGACCCCATACAAACTTTGTTCTAGCCACGTCACACCCACTGGTGCTACCTAAATAGGCCACGTTCTCTCATCTTCAGGGCTTTGGCCTTGCTAATCCTAGACCTTGTTCTCTCTTCTCTTTATCTGAAACATGTATCCTTCAAGAGTCTGTTCAAATAACCACCTTTTTGTATGCTTTGAGCCTTTCTCAGCCGCTCTAAGTCCAACTGTACCCCCTGTAGCCTGAGTGTACCCCCTGAAGTTGCTTTACAATGCCTAATGATGTCTTCTCCACTTAGTTCAGGACAGATACCAATGGGGAGCTGCAATACCTAGAATTCAGTAACACTTAGTGACTGCTTTTGAATAAACACCTCATGATAGAAGCTGTTACTGTACCAAGATTTCTTGTCTAACTACCATCCCTCCTTTTCTCTCCCTTTGTATGTCTTCTTTAAAAATGAGCCTCTATGTTACAGGATCATGAGTGTGTTATAGCATATTTCTGTGCATTATTTATAATAAATATAATTCTTCATAAAATGACCTGTTTTATTAATTATTCATAGGGAAAATGTTAGATCCATAGAATGCTGGATACCTTCTGTGCATAAAGTTTTGGGGGGATGGGTTCTCTTGGCTTAAGGTAGTAATGGCAGACACTCATGTGCCATATTTCCTAATTTCCAAGTCTGAGCTGGAAGATGCAGATAACTGTCTCCTCTCTTCTTTCAGGGGAAGTGTGGGAAAGGAGAAAGGTGCAGGGGATGAGCTGATGGTACACATTGGTCTCTGCATTTCTAGTCCTACAGTCTTTCCACTCCATTATAGACACAGAAGCTCCAAACTCCTTTCTTGCCTCAGCAGGATATGGCTATACAGATTTGTATTTATTGGAAATGTGAAGGACAAGGGAGTGCTAACGTGATTGAGTCTTCTCTGCCCCAAAATTTAATCAAATAATAATACTAGTTTCTGTCAGGTCCAAAGGAAAACTCAATCCCCCAAACTCCAAAAGGCAGTCCATAGTTCAGAAATGAGATCAATCTGGACACAAGAGGCTTTCAGGCAGTTAGATAAAAGCTAGTATTCCTCAGAAACTTGTGAGACTGGTGCCTCTCTAACAGAAGGAGTCATTTCCCTGACCTCTGGCAGAAGGGATTTGTGACTATCAGGTAGCAAACCTCATGCTGGCCTTCAGGCTCCTTCAGTATCACAAGTGCTTCTTATACATCTCAAAGTCAAGCAGTCAACCTCACCACTTCCCCTAACCCAAACTCTCTCCAGCCCATGCACTCCCTCCACTCAGCTACCCACTCTCCCTATAACCCTGCCGTTCTTGCTTTGTTTTTCTCTATGCTCTGCTCGGGCTTCTCTCACGGTGTGTTCTGTATCCCACCCCGTTATTCTTCCCTCTCTTGCAGACAGTCTTGACCTTGTTCAGTAGACTGGCCATGTTCAGTCTATTTTCTCTCCCTGCTATAGACTCTTGGAGATGTCTCTGCCGATTCTCTTATATCTACAATAACCCCCTCCCTTATCTATAGCATGGAGGGTCATGTCATCAGTTTATAGAGTTTCTAATTCTCTTTTATTTAATTATTAGTGATTAAGGGGACAGAAAACACACATTCATTTCTCAATACTGCCCCATTCAGAACATTGGAACTAAACTCGTTTTCTGGAAAGTCTACTACTGAGGTACTGAGCGCCTGGCGTCTGGCAAAAGGTGACACCAGTTTCAATCTTTCTTTCCTTCTGGAATTCTAACCGATCTGGAAATGCTTCAGGATCTAGTTAATCTTCATTTTATTTTGTTTTGCTTGTCTTGCTACATTTGGACACTTTGTACATTTGGCCCCCAATTTAATTTGCTAGGATTTCAATTTTTATGTGATGGCTGCTTGCTTGTTAAAGAAGAATCACATAAAGTGGAGGAACTCCGTTCTGCAAAACTGCAGAGAGAATATTATTTTCAAAAAAATACATGTAATTTTATAAGGTGAGTCTTCACAGTACCCTAAAGGGATCCCACTTCAACAAACAGTACAAGTTTAAAAAAGTAATTTGACCTAAAGAGCAGAGATCTAAGAGATCTGTGCAAAGTAATACATTTAGCATGGTGAAAAGTACTTGTAATGCCACATTTTGGTACAAGCCCCCATCTTTAAGGGCTGACTCATTCCATTGTTCTGCTCTCCTCTCTATATTCCAGTCCTATTCTAATTTCCAGCCAATTGTATTTCATACACAATTGTTTCTGGCTTCCTTCCACTGAGAAGTGGGGTGCAGCTGACTCTAGAGGTACACTCCTTCACTCCTAGGCACTTGGCATTGTTTTATTCAATGTAGTCTGGCACACAATCAGTCAGCGCAACCGTGGAATGGTCAAGCCTGGGTGAATTTGAAAAGACCAATCAAGTCTAGAATTACAGGTCTTCTTCTATTTCACCACCACTTCTCTGGAGCGGAGGAGGTCCTTGGCCTTAGAGGCCTGCACACAAGAGGTACAAGCAGAAGAGGCTCTGTCAAGCTGCAGGCTTGTTGCTAACAGAAGGTGACCATCAAAACTTTTCTCTTCTGAACGATTTTAAAAACAACAACAAAACAAACAAACAAAACCCAGAAGACTACACACTCAGGCACAGGGCAATAGTCAAAGGCTGCAGGCTGCTGGGACAGGTTGTAAACTACAGGATTGGATGGGGTGCGGGCTAAGGCTGCATGGTGAAAGGGAAGGTGATGTTGCAGGGCTAGCAGCCTGCAGAGCTGACTATGATCTGGAGGCCTCCGCGGTGCAGAGCTTCATATGGGGCTGAAGAGCTATGGAGCTGCGAGCTGAAGGGATGCGGAGTGCGCGTCTGTGTGCTGGCGGTTGGAGGGCTGAGGGGTGCAGGGCCGCGCGTTTGCGGGAAGCAGAGCGGTTGCAGGCGCGCGGAGCTACAGGCGGGAGGGGTGAGGGGCGGAGCGAGGGTGGGGGCGGGGGAGGCGTGGGGGGGGGGGCCGCGGGGCGG